CTCCCTCCCTCCTCAGAATAGGGTAAGTAGAAAGGTTAAGCTCTCTCGAGACTTTGTATCCGCAACACCAAATTAGAAATGGTAGCCTACAAGATAATCGACCCCTTCATCAGACTGGACAAAAGACAAACTAATCAATGTAAACATGGCCAGGAACAGCCTCTATAAAGAAATTCTAATGGATTCAGAATCAGTGCCGCTTGTTACCGGGGCAGTAGACAACTATCATTTCTGACCAATCTAACTTGAATCCTTCTTCATTTCTCGTTAAGTTGTAAGAATACTTCTTCCTTTCTCGAACGTTGTAATTATACCAACTCTTAAAAACGATTCTACGCTTAAGGCAACCTCGACTAATTTACAGCACATCAAGAAAAAATGCACATGTCTGCATACACAGCAAGCGATGTGAACAAAAAGAACACCGATGTAGCCCAAAGACAATGTCTGATGGGGTTGCGGTCGGAACCATGTCGTTGCTTTTCTCTGGCTGCAGTGGTTGCAACCCTACAATATCTATGTTGACGTCATCTGATTATTTTTTTTGTTGATTAACATTATTTTGTTCAGATACCCACCGCTGAATTTCTCACTGGCAAAATGAAAAAAAAATGAAAAAAAACTAACAAAAACTACAAAATGTCTAAGTATTTGTGTAAAATTTGAAGGTTCAAGGTAAACGGTTAACATACTAAGCCATCGAGAAGCTATTAAAATTACCGACCATTGAACGAGAACATGACAAGAGATATCAATGTTGGGTAAGAAACTGTCAGATAAAACAATGGCATGCTAAAACAACCACACGGGGCCTACAACGAGTAGCGAGAGAAGAAAGAGTAAGACCCTGGGGTTTATGTAAGATTTACCTGCGTGGAGTTGGCGGAGAGCATACTGTCGTCCTCGTCCGCGCTGTAGGCAGATCTGTCCGTGCGTAGCGAGCTGTGGAAGGGGAGGAAGGCGCGACGGAAGCCATCGTGCTCGTAGTCCCGGCGGTCGGCCGTGACAAAGTCCTGGGAACCGGACAGTGCGTTCTGCGCGCTCAACTGGAGCTCCGCCGAGTTAGTAAACGACGCTGAGCGGATCATACGCCGCTTGTAGTTGGAGCTGGCAGACGGCTTGGGTCTGGCGGTCACGCCGTATCCAACGCTACCGGCAGAGATAGTGCTACTGCTGCTGCCACCTTCTTTTGCTTTGGCCTTGGCCTCTGCTACCGCTCTCCGCGGGTCGTACTCCTTGCGGCGTTTCCACGCCATGCGTTCCGCCGCCTTGGGCGAGTTGGAGCGACTGCCAGGCTGGGACTGGCTGCGGGAGGAGAGGCTGGTGCTACTCACACCCGTCACGGACAAGTTCCCGCGAGAATTGCTTGCACCCGACGACTTCCCCATCGACTTCGGTGTCGTCTCTCTCCTTGCCGCAGCGTTCGGTGACGACGCCGCAGCCGCTTGCGCGATGGTAAGTGATGAGGCTCTCTGCAGACGTAAGCTGTGCCGTCCGCCATCCGCGCGCGACAAGTTGTTACTGCTCTTGGCCTTCTCCTGGCCTGCATTCTCGCGGCTTTTCTTCACGATCTGCCCGCCGAGGCTGGTGGCCTCACTTCGGTGCGAGTCTGGGGCAGTCCGCCGCGGCGCGCTGTGTACGCTGGACGACCTGGCTGAGGCGCCGCCGGACGCGCCTGTCCGGCCTGTGGACTTGCCAGAGCGGGGCGTGGTGGGCTCGTCAAAACTGTCCGCCCTCGCTCGTCGGAGCTGGAAAGCTCTATTGGGCTTGGTCATTGTTATGTTACCTTTTCCCTTGGAGCTGGACCTGGACAAGTTGCCGTCCCCTGTGTCCGAGCTGACATCAGAGATGATGCTCTCATTGTCCACACTATCCGCCCTACTGTACACGTCTGAGACCACAGACTTCTTGGCGATAGACACCGATGTGCCACTGCGCGGGGAGGCTAAAGTTTTCGCCTTAGAGGCAACAGTCTGCGAGTAGGACCTCCCGACCCCCCGCTTGGCCCCCGCTCCCCCGCCACCTCCCGACACAGGCGGTGTAGAAGACACAACACTGCCACCCGCCGGCCTCCCCGGACCGTCTTTACTGTTACGTCTCTTAGACAGAGCGTCTCGCGGGCTCTTGTACAGCGTGGGTTTCACGTAGTCCTCGTCCCCGTTGACCAGGGCGACAGTACTGGACACATCGGTGTCCGAGTCGTGTCCGGGGGAGGAGCCATCCCCGTGCGACTTGTGGGCCATCCGGGCCTCCATGGCCGCCATGACAGTCTCCGTGTCCTGCAGCAGGAGCTCTGTGTCCACGCTACCACGTGACCGCGATGTGCTGGCCGGGCTGACCCCGTCCTGGGGGTCCGTGCTGTACCCGTTACTCCGGCCCCGAGAGCCGGCCTGCTGACTAGAGATGCGAACCGGAGCCTTGTGCGTGCCATTCTTGCCGTTGACCAACAGGTCTGAAGAGCGGGAGGGGCTGCTGGGGTCGTCGGCGATGTGCAGGTCGATGGAGTGGTCACCCATGTAGGAGCTGTGCTCGCTGGACACTGGGCTCCGGTCAGTCGGGATGGAGGGCAACTTCCGACCTGTGCCTGGCCGCTTTCGGCTGATGCCTTGCGGCGGCTTCTTCGAAAGGGAAGTGCCACCTACGTCAACGAAGAAAAAAAACAAGGGGTTAAAATAGAATCTTAGTTTTAGAGAATAGCCGTGAACAGCGGAGAAATCATATGTTGAATGGTAGAATCAAACAGGCACATCTATATTTGAAAATAGACGAGCATGTTTTAAGATTTAGTAAAAGTATTACGACACTTACAACACAATTAATTCATAATAAAAGTGCCCTAGACTAAAGGTGATAAAACAGAGTAACAAACTAGAAAAGAAAGAGGGGAAATAAAGCGACAGATGTTTATTAAAGTTTTTAAAGAGCATCTGAGCGGAGAAATGAAAGGTGAACCATGACCGCCGACGTCTGTTTCAAAGCTGGCACTTTACGATGATAAGGAGCAGTCACCAATAACTCACATCATCTCGTCAACAACTCACATTATCGCGGGTAGCTCAGAATGTGTCTAACTGTTCAGCTGTTTACTGTGATAATAATAGCTTTCAAACGCAGATAACATGTCATTATTATTGTTATTGTTATTATTATTACTAAAATAGTTATACTATATCATCATCATCAGTATTATTACTATTATTACTATTATCATCATCATCATCATCATCATCATCATCATCATCATCATCATCATCATCATCATCATAATTATTATTATTATTATTATTATTATTATTATTATTATTATTACTATTATTGTTGTTATTGTTCTTTTTATTGTTATTATTATTATCCCATATATATCCCCGCCAACCACCCACATCATCCCAAGTAGTCCGCCACCACCCAACAGGTCACTCACCCTCGTCCCGCGTCAGTTTGCCTGCGTCAGCGGCCATGGCGGCCGACTTGTGGCTGGTCAACGCGGTCAGCTGGCTCACCCACGTCTGGACACCGTCTGCCGTGGCCATGCCGGGACTCTGAAACACACACGAGAACAGAACTCGGGTTAGATCATAATGTTGTACAATAGTAAATACATTTAGGAAAGAAACAACTCCGTTTGACCTAAGGAAAAGAAAAAGGTTTTTAAAAAAAATTTAAAATGAGGCAAGAGAGAAAAAAAGGAAAGAATGGAAATGAAAGAAAGAAAAAGAAAGAAAGAAAGAAAGAAAGAAAGAAAGAAAGAAAGAAAGAAAGAAAGAAAGACGACAGCACGGCGGTAAGTGGACTTAAAAACAAGCCTAATGTTACATCTTTGGCCTCAATGGCCTCAAAGTCGCCAACACAATTCCCAAAGCCGTACACATACGCATGTTTTCCACACCGGGTCCAATGCCTTAAAAACACTAAAGAAAGAATGTTGGTTGAAGTAAAATTGTTACCGCACTTGCAATGAAAAAAGGTCATATAAGTGCAAAGGATTACTGTTGTAACTTGGATAACAGACGAAGAAAAGGGCGAGAGATAACGGTGATAGACATTTTATAGGAAAGTGGAAGCAAACCACATCAAAACACCCACCAACCAATCACAAATGCACGTTCTCCTAACCAGGTTGTATGTCTTAAAAACAAAAGAAAACATGCCTCTCGGGAATGACGGAGGGAGCAAAATGACAAAGAAACGACGAAAAGCAGGGTTTTTAAAAAATCCACCACAGCATGCGTAGCGCCATTGTCAAAACATTACATGTTTCTAACCCAAGGCGAGGAAGATCAAGATCTTGACTTACAACAGCGCCCGCCACATGTCCAAGACGCAGAATGACGTCACAGACAGGAGAAAACATCACGAGAAAGATTCTTCGAAAACAGCGACATATGAGACAAAGAGAGCGGGAAACCAGACTCAAAGAGTAGCAGAATATCCTCTTTTCGGACGGTCTGTTTGTGTTCATGTTGAGGTCTCGCGTTCTTGGGTAGAGAGTGGAGAATGTGGAGCGTCGTACCGGACTTCAGTCCAGCAGGTCAGTGGATGACCAGTGACACAGGTACAGGTGTGAGGGACTGAGAGGCGTACACAGGGTGGTCAGTGACGCGGAGTGACCCAACCGGACAAAGGGGGCTTTGTTCCCCCCAAAGGCGTCACTGGAGTTGTGAAGAATTCGGGGAAGTTATCAGGTCCAGGTGTGCGTGTGTGCGTGTGTGTGTGTGTGTGTGTGTGTGTGTGTGTGTGTGTGTGTGTGTGTGTGTGTGTGTGTGTGTGTGTGCGCGCGCGCGGAGAGCCACAATGAGCATCTCGTGTAAGTTAGCATGCATGAGCGTGAGCGTGAGAGATCGAGAGAGAGAGAAAGAGAGAGAGAGAGAATGTGAGAGAGAGGGAGAGAGGAGGAAGTGTGAG